ATTACAGACTTTACTCTAGTAGATAACCTCAAACTCTTCTACTAAGGCTTTTCTTTTTAAAATTATTTTTACAGTATCTCCTAAAGCATTGGGTTGCTAGCTGCAAGGTCAACTGTTTGAAACCACCATCTGCTCTGAGGAAGAAAGTTGAAGCTTTCTGCTCTTGTAATGATTTATAGTCTTGGAAACCCACAGGGGCAGTTCTGCTTTTTGCTATTGGACCCCTCTGAGTCAGAATCCACTCAATGGCAGTGAGTTTGGTTTTGGAACCCCCAGTTGGTATAGTCTTGACAAGGAGGTTAGATTTTGCTTTTTGTGACTTAGTCGTTAAAATACTATGATATTCTGACTTTTCCTATTGCTATAGTACACTTTTTTGTTTTTGGTGATTTTAGGGCTTCAACTAGACATATCCTCACAATCTTTGGATCAAGAAATTCTATTAAAAATTAAAACTGAAATTGAAGAAGAGCTGAAATCTTTGGACAAAGAAATTTCTGAAGGTTAGTTCATTTTTCTAATTAGTAGATTCATTGTTGGTGTGATTTGATTTTTATCAGTTTAACTCAGCTTTTAAAGTAGGATGTTCTCCACTATTACACACTTAACTGGTATGTGATTCTAATGATGAAATTGAAGGCAGCTGTTTTCTGTCCTTAGATGTCAATTTTACAACATCTCTCCCAGGACAGAAAAAGGCTTTTTAGATGCAGCTCTTTCTGATGTTGTCATGAGCTAAATGATCACAGGAAAGTCCTTTCTGGTCAATATGGTTTGATTTTATGTACCGTATATACTCGAGTATAAGCCAATCTGAATATCAGCTGAGGCACCTAATTTTACCACAAAAACTGCATAAAAATGTGTGAAAACTCGGCTTATATATGAGTATATATGGTAACCATCTTTATGTACAAATTATGGTTTTTCATTTTTATTGGTCCAAATGCTATTTTGTTTGCTGCCATTGAGTCAACCTCTAACTCATGGTGTCCCCATATACAGTGGGATTGGGCTGTTGTGATCCCTAGGGCTTTCATTGGCTGATTATTCAGAAGTAGATCTCCAGGTCTTTCTTCCTTGGCTGTCTTAGTCTTAAAGCTCCACTGAGACTTGTTCCTCATCACAGCAACACTGTAAGCCTCCACTGATAGACTAGTGGTGGCTGTCCTTGAAGTGCATTGGCTAGGAATCAAACCCTGGTCTCCTACATGGAAGGTAAGAGTTCTACATAGATAGTTTGTAGCATTATATCATAAGCCTTCTGTGTCAGTCTGGGCTGACTAGAGAAATACATTCATCCTATTCTTAATGAAAGCGATTGATAACTCTTGGAAGTAGGTGCAAACCCCATGCTTTCCTTATATTCTTTGTCCTTCATTTTCTTTGTATCTTAGAACAATAGTTAACTCTGTTTTTTCTTCCTACAATGAGAGAAGAACCTATGTAATGGAGATAGTAAGCAGATGAGGCTGGTACTTTGAATCCGAGAGACATAGGATAAGACTCTTTTCTCAACATAGACTCTTTGTAATGATTGTGTGGCTTGCACTGTTATTACAGTTATCGAGGTGCTGCACAGTATTGAGTTTGACAGGGAACATACTTGGTTCTTCCTTTGAGGATGGTGCAAGCTGTTAGAATCTGGTTTAAGAAGTACCTCATTTACAAAGGTTAAAAGAGAAAAGATTTTCATGAATTATTCAGAGAATGATGATAGAGCCAGGAATGGCTCTCCTGTATCATACTTATACTAAATTGGTCAGTACTATTACATGAAATTGGTTAGTGTGTTTTAAAATGTCAGTTTTTCACTAGATCCTTCACTTGTTTAAAAGAACAATAATTCAAAATTGAGGACTTAGCACTTTTTTTGTTCTAAGAAAGATTCACATCCACCATGACTTTCTGACATTTGTTTGTGGCCTTTATTTCCTAACTTGCTCCCCTAGCAAATCTCTTGCCCTTAGTCTTGTACAGCACAAGTATGCTTGTTGATGTTAAGTATTAAGGTCAGTGTTTCTTTTCACTTTAGCCTTCACCAGCACAGGCTTTGATCGTCACACTTCCCCAGTGTTCAGCCCTGCAAACCCAGAAAGCTCAATAGAAGACTGCTTGGCCCATCTTGGAGAAAAAGTGTCTCGAGAACTCAAAGAGCCTCTGCAGAAAGCAGTGCGCATGCTCCTGAGCCAGTGAGTGCCCATTGCTGTGTGGGAATGTGCTTCTCCACTAGTCCTTGATTGCTGTTAGCACTGGGTGGCCTAAGGCTGTGTTTTAGATGAATGGTATCATTTCTTTTCTCACCTATTCTTTACTTTTCTGTGTCATTTTGTGTAACATCAAAGCAGTTATTTAATTGTTCAGCCAAAAGTTAATAGTTTTATGTATTTGTTAAACAAATGCTTTTACTGAGTTGTGACTACTTAATTTGTCCTAACCACTTTTGCTTATCATTCCCTGGCTCATGAAAGTATATTGGCTGGGATTGTGTATATTACATTGTGGGATTAACATTAAATTGATATTTTAGATATCTCTGTTCCTAAACTTTGGGGTAGCACTTTGCCCACTTCACTTCCACATTGACTAGCTCCTAGCTGTGGTTTTGACCATTAAACTAACAGCAGGCAGCAAGTAATGAAAGCATATTAGACTAGAACCAAATAATTTATTGTAAATCTCAAATTTTTATTTCCTTTGATTCTTTGCTGAGAATGATTAAGAAATTACTACACATGAGGGGAAAAACTACTTTGTCATCATAAAGATCAACCATTTTCTAAAGTAGGATAAAGCCCGGTCCTCCACTGAAAGAGTCAAAATTCAAAAGCCAAATGCCTGTCGTGCGGTAGTTCCTTACTTTCAGGCAGGTACAGTTTGTAGTTCACCGTTTGTTAGGAGGAAGCAGTTTGGGTTTTCAGAAAATTCAGTTTGTTTCTGCATATTCTGGTACATTGAGCAAATGTAAAATTTTCATTAATAATTTGGAAAGAATGGAATGAAAATTATATTTGGAAATGTGGAAAGAATAAAAGGATCAAAAATAAGAATAAAAGGATCAAAAATAAGGAAATACAAGATTATAACAGTGGTTTACAAAAATTGTTCTTTGAGCCTTAGGATTCCACCTTTGGAATCCTTCAAGACATGAAGTTCTTTTAAATGGGTTGGACTTAATGTTAAAACCTTTCATTCATTCTTCTATCAGAACATAAATACTTTTTCATCTGTTTTGTATATAGAGGGTTTTTTTTAAATTTAGGTTTTATATAAAGATTTGAAGAAAAAAATCTGCACTATATATAAACAAGAAATAGAAAAATAAAACAAAATACTTAGAAAAACACTTGGGACAAGGAGTAAAATAGTAAGGAATTAATGCAAAAAATTCCGTTTCCAACTTTGATACAGACTTTGTGGCTCTGAGCAAATCATTTCACTCTTTAAATCTCAATTTCTCCATCTGCATATTTTAATTTTATTGACGTAAACTTTCCAAAGTACGGTGATACATGATGGGCTTCAAAAAGTTGATGAGAAAATTCCATTACTTGTTAATTCCATTTTTATGTCATTTGAAGCTCCTTTACATAGAATTTTTTGTTTTTAAGAAAACCGGTATTATTGTTTCTGCAGTCCTTTTATAACATAGAAGAAAAATTCATGTCATCTCACTTCGTACAAAGCAAATATACTTAAAAGAAAATTATCTTGGATTAATAGCTGTTGTGTTTGCCACCCCCCCTGCATGCTGATATAATTATTTTTAATTTGTTTCTGGTTGCATATCAGTCATGTTTCTTTATGAGTAAATTACTTTTTTGAAAGCTGTTAAGCTTTATTACTAATACCTGAAAAAGTTAATTGATGCTAAACTAGAAGTACTATACAGATGGAAGTAACATCTTTTTAGGTAGAATATTTGTGTAAAGTGAGAAATGGGTCTGGAACTCCTTGTAAAGATGAGTACCGTCAGTTTCACAATGCACTCCCATCCCCCCTTTCTTTTTCAGCCTCATGTCTTATTAGAGAGGGCTCACTATTCTCTTTCCTATGCGCGTCTAATATGCTGGATTGCGTATCTGCATATGTGTGTGTGTATGTAATGTGTCAAGTTATATTTCATTTTGATGGATGCTAAAGTACTAAGCTTAGCCTGATAGTCAAGCTCACATTAAGGACTACTGTATGCCATAGCAGTGTTGACCTGTTCAGGAAAGGAAGTGAAGGGACTGATAGGTGCAAGTAAAGCTTAAGAGAGAATGTAGGTTGGGAGACTACATAGTACTTTCTGAACTGCAGGGTTTACCAGCAGTCTAGCATTTAGTCCAAGTCTTCTAAAAGATATTAAGGCTATGTGACTGGAAATGTGGTACATAGCCGCTATCATTGAAAATATCAGCCCTGGTGTCTCATCTCCTTTTTTAGCATTGCTTTAGTCTTGATTGATAATGACTTGAGTAAAAGAATGATGCCCATGTCATCAGGACTTTTTCTAAAGTATCTTGATCAGCTCTGTCTAATAGAAATCTGAAGAGGCTTCAAAAGGTTAATGGAAAATGGAACTAGAAGATAGTGGAAGTTTTTCATAAACGTTTAAAAAGCAACATGCAATTAAAATCTTTTTTATCAATCACATTAAAAGTATATTTAAAAAGGAAACAGTACATAAATTAATAATGTTTTCAGAAACCTATTTTAACTGAATCCTGCCAACATAATATGATTTTAAGATATAATCACTGTAAAAATTTAATGAGATATTTTTCATTCTTTTTGCTCTCCAAGTCTTTGAAATCTGTTGTTATATTGTTCTGGTAGCACACCACTAGCCACTGTGCTATCTAGACTCGTGGCATGTGTTAAAATTTCTACTGGAAAATGGGGCCAGTGTTGCCTTTGGGACCAGATTGAATTGGTTATGAGTTCCCACTTAGCTCTGAGGTCTCGGGTAGGGTTTCATCCTTTCTGAGTGCGCAGCACACAGAATGCTGTGGGGTGGAATTTTAACTCTTAGCAACGCCAAGATCCTCTTCCCTTTCTCACACTTGCATTCATACTGTGACCCCATTTAGTATGAATGGGATTTACATTCAGAAAGCATTGTCTTTTGCCATCTAGAATTTTATATGATAAGGTTCAAAGTTTAACATGGAACTCTGCACCACCTTTACTTAGTCTAGGTCTGTGTATCCTCAGCCAGAAAAGTCTTTCAGGTGACATGTCTCTTTAGTGTTTAAATATTTTAGATGACTTACCTTTTATTTATTTTATTATTATTATTATTTTTTATGGTTGCCTTGCCAGGAAAAGCCTCAAACTGACCAGCAGTGTGGTTGCTTATTCCTTTTTAAAAAAATCATTTTATTAGGGGTTCATACAACTCTTATCACAATCCATACATACATCAATTGTGTAAAGCACATTTGTACATTCATTGCCCTCATCATTCTCAAAACATTTCCTCTCCACTTAAGCCCCCGACATTAGGTCCTCATTTTTCCCCTCCCTCCCCGCTGCCCCCTCCCTCATGAGCCCTTGATAATTTATAAATTATTATTTTGTCATATCTTGCCCTGTCCGACGTCTCCCTTCACCCACTTTTCTGCTGTCTGTCCCCCAGGGAGGAGGTCACATATACTTCCTTGTAATCGGTTCCCTCTTTCCAACCCATTCTCCCTCTACCCTCCCAGTATCATCACTCACACCACTGGTCCTGTAGGGATCTAGATGACTTACCTTTAAAAAAAAAAATTAAACTGTGCTTTTTATGTGTGCTAAAATAATATAGACGTATATTTTTGTATTTATGAATGAAATCATCATTCTTTTTTGGTCATATATTAAAAGAGCCAAATAGTTATCTAACTATAGAAATCCTACCAAAGAGATTTCAGGCAATTTTAAAAGATTTATTAGAATAAGTATTTATCTTGTTATTTTATTTACTGCTCTCCCAATCTGATAGCATGTATCTCACCCTACAGAAAGTACATTAGAAAAATACATACTAAAAATAAGTTAAAAAAAAAACTTTTTAAAAAAAAAGAAAAATACATGCTAAGTACTGGAGGCCACATCTGATCTAAAATATATTTTGCCACTTTTGCAAAAAGTGCAACAGAATAATAATAACTGTATACATTAGCTCCTCTGGAGATTTAGAATTTTCCTTCTTTGTGACACAGACTTTTAAAAAAATCTCTACAGGCCAATGACCTATCAGGGATTCCGGAATTGCACACTGGAGACCGCAGTTCATGCCAACGGCTGGAACAAGGTATTAACTATATGTTCTTTTCTCTTAGAAGGGATTAGTATGTTAATGATAAAATACAGGCGGAATTGCTGACATCATGCAACAGAAAACAAGTTGAGCTCTTTATTTCACATATAAATGAAGCTGACTTTGTTAAGTGGGTTATGTTTTTAGTACTGAAAGTTTCTGCCCAGCCCCAAAATATGCCTCCTATAGTACGTGTCATGTGTCACCCATTTTCTCTTTGTCCCGAATTTCCTGTAAATTCTTCTTTGCTGTGTACTACTAGATGTGACTTTTATCTTCAGACGGATATTTGTGAAAATGCGCATGTCTTGGAAGGGGGTGGGAGAATAAGGACTTCAGTTGGGAAATTGCCTCTGCTGAGTCTTTGAAATGAATTTGTGTTTTACAGTTTACAAACTATTTAATCATAACTATCTCCTATAGAGGGGCAGAATAGATTATATTAACTTTAATTTACTTATTTATATATTTACTAAGTTCAAGTGAAGAATTGGAGAATTAGAAAAACCAAATGATTTGCCTAGACCCCCTTGACTGTTAAGTATTGCAACCAGCACCAGAGCTAAGATCCAGTTTCATTGGTTTTTCCCACTAAATCATACAGCTTATCCATTTCTCAGGTTGCCTTATTGAGTTCTCACCTTGGAAAGGCAGAAAGCTTAAGGAGATGCAATATAGGAAGGCTGTAGATCAACCTTAAAGGAGCCGGGTGGCTCAGGGTAGTGCTTCAAAGCCACCTCCCGCTGTGACAAGGAAAATGTGGCAGTCCACTTCCATAAAGACTATAGCCCTGGAAGCCCTGTGGGGCAGGGCAATTCTGCAATGTTCTAAAGGGTTGCTATGAGTTGGAATCGACTCGTTTCTTTCTTTCTTTCTTTTTTCTTTCTGTAAGCTCATCATGAGAAAGTGTGGCCCTTAAATGATATGGTGCTAGGGATGATTAAATTCAACAAGATTATTTTATAAATAATTACTTCTACTCATAATTATTGATGAGTCAGGCCACATGACCTTATGAAGCTAATTAATGTGTATTATTTTTTCGCAGCTTAATTACAGGCTTTGAAATCAGTCTTGTTTTGACATCGTTACCATAGACTAGATATGCATCTTTAAGCACATTCTCTGTAAGTGGACATTTTCTGGATATGTTATATAAAAGGAAGCATATTTTAGGTCCCCCCCCTTTTTTTTTAGGTCCCCTTTATAGGTAGTCTTAACCACTTCCCTTACTCTACTTTTCTCTCCTCTAATTTACTTATGCAAGTTGTTTATTCTGTAGAAGTTTACTCCCTTCTGGGTTTTAGTGACTGTGTCCCTGAAGTGTCACTTACCATCTTCCTCTATACCTTTGTTATCATTCCATTAGGTAGACATAGAGGCCTGGTCAGAATCACATGGATCATTTTGTCAAGAATCCCTGTGAGTCCTCGTATTTCCTAGAGCATCATGCTTCTTGGTGCCAGAGAGTTGGTTCTCACTCATAGTGAGTGACCTTCTGAAAAGCAGCACAAAATATTGCCTGGTCCTGAGCCATTTGCACAATTGTTGCTATGTTTGAGTTGTTGCAGACACTCTGTGGATCTATCTCTTGGGGAATTTTCCCTCTTTTTACTAAGCAAGCATGAGATCCTTCTCCAGGGACTTCTACTTCCTGATGACATGTACATATGACTGAGATGGAATTTGCCATCCTTGCTTTTAAGGATGTGGTTGTACTTCTTCCAAGAAAGGTTTGTTTGTTCTTTCCGCAGTGCAGGGTATATTCAGTAGCCTTTGCCAATGCCATAATTCAAAGACATCAGTTCTTTGGTCTTCCTTATGCGTTGCTTTGTGAGGTGACTGAAAATACCGTAACATAGGTAAGATGCACCTTTTGGCTTTTAACACTGGATGGCACATAGTGTCTTCTTGTCTTTTAAATTATATTTGAAGCAGACCTGGTTCAAGACATTATTCAAACCTAATCAGTAAATTAGTACAGATGACATTTTTGTGCTCTGGGACATTTTGTAGACTTGTTAAGGTTCTGGAGGGTAAAATAGTAGATCAATAGGCCAAAATAATGAAATTTTTCATCATCACAAATCCTCATTTTACTGGAAGGAATCATCAGAACTCTAAATTGGCTTGCTTTACTTCTACACAAGGCCAACTCATCAACCCTCTATTAAAAGAATAATGCTATTTAAATTAAGACTAACATATTGGAAAGAGAACACAGGTGCATATGAGATCTCAGTGGATTAGGTAAGTACATGGGTAGAAGTAAACCAGTGGAAGTCATGTCTTTTGATAGTCCAAATACTGTAGTGTTTCATCACAAAAGTTATTGAAGCAAGAAAAGCAATTTACATGCATTGTGAAAATTACTGTTAGAGTGTTGGCGAAGAAAAGCTAGTTAAAGTACCATGGACTGCCAGAAGAATAAACAAATCTGTCTTAGAGCAAGTACAGCCAGTATGTTCATTGGAAGCAAGGATGGTGAGACTTTGTCTTATGTACTTTAGACATATCGGGAGGGCCCAGGCCTGGAAGAAGAACATCACTGCCAAAAGAACAAACAGATCCGTCTTGAAAGCAGAAAAGTCAGCATGCTTCTTGGAAGCAAAGATGACAAAACTTCCTTTGAACATTGTATTAGGAGAGACCAGTCTCTGGAAAAGGACATCATGCTTGGTAAAGTAGAAGGTCCATAGAAAAGATGAAGACCCTCAAGGAGATGGATGGACACATGGTTGCAGCAGTGGGCTCAAACATAGCAATAGTGAGGCTGCCACAGTAGCAAGCAGGGCTTCCTTCTGTTGTACATACGGCCATTATGAGTTGGAACCAACTTGCCAGCATCTAACAACAGTGAGAAAATGACTTGGAAAAAGAAATCCAAAAGATAAAAATATTTGGTTCGTTTTTGGACTTAAAAGTATGAATGATGTAAAAACATATGAGTAAAGAGACATCTTGTCTGAGGGGCCAACCTCAATCCCAACTACATGGACATCCGCCCCTCTCCCCAGAAGAATTTACTTCATAGGACAGCACTGAAGTGACCGCTCAGGGAGAAGGACATGTCTGATCAGAGCACACCGGAGCAAATGAAAGGGAAGAGAGAGTGGAGCACATCCTGGCCCACCAAGCCTTGAGGATGATATCCCTACTCAAAGCAGCCAATGCACAGAGAGGACCATGTGGCCGGCCCCACTAGGAGACATGACATCCCTCACTGACCCATAGCCCTACAGGGAACAGCACTGAAGACAGTGTAGGAATTGCATCCGATCTGACCCCATCACACTGAGGCAAAAGTCTAAAAGGTGTGCAACAGAACAGCAAGGGGACCCAATGTCCTTCTGCTACCTTAATACTGAACCTATAAATATATGCACATAGATCTGTTTCTCCATCCTCATATATAAATATATTTGCCTATGTACATGTCTTTATCTAGACCTCTATAAATGCCCTTTGCCTCCCAGCTCTTTCCTCT